AGACACACCGGAAGAAAATGGGTGTGTTGGAGGAAGGTCCGTGCCACGCAACCCGAAACAAAGGCCTTACCGGATGGACAACCACAAATGCAGAGACACAGTCCAAGCACTGCCTACAAGTCCATTCTGGGCCATCTCTTGACACAAAGTGCCGGGAACCCCTCGGCACAGATGTGTGCAGGCCTAGGCTGCCTTCACAGGAGGCAGCAATGACGATTCAGGCCAGGATTTTTATCTTTTAATATAATAATCCATTTCATGACCTATTAGCCCAGGTTGTTTCTTTACACTAAAAGGATTGGTCGATTTCAGAGTGTTAGCTTGGGGAGACAATTTTTGGTACAAACGATTCTGAGTCTCGTGTTTCTGCTAACCTGCTCTTGCCCCATCTTCATTCCCTCTTGTCTCCCCTACCCCACCACCCTTTTTTTTTCCAATCCTTTTTCTTAACTGACCCAGTGCTTTTCCTCTCTGGTAACGTCTGAACCTCTTGAGCTTGCTCAGCACTGCTGGGGGAACTGAGGAAGGCAAAATAAACCTGTGTGCCCTGCTGCCGCAGCAGTGCCAGAAAGCTCCTAGTGCCCTGGTGGGGCGGAGTGGGAGGGAATGTTGTGTCTGCTAATAGGGAGGTGGACGCCAGGGAATCTGGGACAGCTGTGAATTGAGAGAGAGAGAGAGAGAAGAATCAACGTGGGTAAGGTGCCAGTCCCCAAGAGGCAGACGATAAGGGCTCCTGGTAACGGAAACCCAGTCAGTTAGGAGGCAGAGGACCAACGTCCTGGCAAATAAAAACCTTTCAACAGAAGAAAGGCCGCTAGGCCAGGGCTTGGAAAGCCTCCCTTTCACCCAGAATGAGGGCCCGGCACAAGCACGACTGGGTTGAAAACACAGCTGGGATGAGAACCTGGATCACAGCCACCCCACGTGGTCGCAATCAATTTCTGAATTACGTCAACCATTCTCCCTTCCTGAGAACTTCAAATGCTAGTCTTGACCATCATTTCACCGAACACCAGACTGTTCATTCCTCTGCATATCAATAACAGGACAAAATAGCACAGAATTCAAATACGCGTACCACTTTGCCATGGTCAGGAAGCTTGGTGTCGTCGTGGGGTAAGCATGTGATAACTAACAGCAAGGTTGGCAGTTTGAGCTCACCCAACTGTTGCTCAGGAGAAATTTGAAGCTATCTGCTCCCAGAAACACTTGTAATTTCACAAACCCTGAGATGGAATTGACTCATGTCAGTGGTATTTTTGTTTTGATCATATTAATTCCGTATGGTTATTCCCTGTTTTTTAAAGTTGTCTTCTGTAAATGTCAGTGTATTTACCTCAAATATAATGACAAATATTTCCTCTAAAATGATTGAGACAGAGGATAATGTGTGAATCTTGTACAGATTCTAAACTCAGGCGTCCTCAAACTACGGCCCGCGGGCCACATGGGCCCGCTGAGGACATTTATCCAGCCCGCCGGGTGTTTGTGCCCCATTTGTTGTTTTATTTCAAAATAAGATATGTGCAATGTGCATAAGAATTTGTTCATAGTTTTTTTTTAAAGCTATAGTCTGGCCCTTCAACGGGTCTGAGGGACAGTGAACTGGCCCCATTTAAAAAGTCTGAGGACCCCTGTTCTAAATGATTAGCAATGTAGGGTACTTTTCTATTGATTCCATGAGGAATAGAAGCAAAACCATAAGCTTTCAGAGCTGCAAGGGACCCTACGGAAGATCTGATAAAAATGCCTAATTTTTGCATAAGAGAAAACGAGGCTCAGAGACGTATCGTGACCTGTCCAAGATCACGCAGCAAAAGGAAGGCAGAAATGACAAGGCAGCTCAACTCCCGACATCCAGCCCTGCTCTTCCACAGCACTGCGATTGTTGCGGAAGCTCAGGAACGGATTCTTATTGTCATCACTTAACAATATAAACAACGGGAAACATGTCAAACAGTGACCGCGCACCGTGTTTAACAGTTTTCTCATGAAAACACACAGCGCCCTCTTCCGATATTTCCACTAACATTGGACACAACCAGCAACCTCACCAGCAAACGGACAGATCCCCCTCCCCTCTTTCAGGGACACCTGAAAGGCTGCTGACACAGAGTTCGGTCTGCCGCACGCATGCGCACATCCCCATCTTCCTGGCAAAGATAGTCCCCAGTGGCTCAGAACCGCCTGGGGTGGGGGGTGGGGAGTCACTGCCCAGAGTCCATCCACCGTGTGGGACTGGCCTGAGAGGTGCTGGGGCGGCCCAGGACTCCTGAGGGAACACAAATATGCTCTTGAGCTACACAGAGTCCGCGGGGAGCTCGCTCTCACCTCCCTCTGTACTTCATGTTGAGCCGGGTGGACTCTACACAGAGAGAGGGAGCACGGAGGCAAAGGGGGGTCTTCCCACGCCACACAGCGGCGTCCACGTGGACACACGCGCTCTCCGGGCCAGCCTCCCTCCTGGCCGGCGCCCCCAAAAGGCAGGAGGCAGGGTGAATGTGGTCCCTTCTCCCAAGCAAAGAAACAAAACTAGGGCTGCTTGCCGACACCCCCCACAAGCCCTGTGTATTTTTGCGCATGATAAGCGTCTCACTCACGTCCTTAAACGTCTTGTGTTAAAGGTAGCGGGTGTCCTTTCTGCTGGGCTGTTTCTCTTCCATCCGGGCTCCTCCTTGCACGGTGCATGGAGTCCCTGTATTAAGTGGGTCGTCTTGGCCACCCATGACGGCAAGCAGCCAGAAGCCAGCCCCAGGCTTTATGTATGGGGCCGCCGGGGCCTTTGAGAATGATTCTGAGAGGAAAGGGGGAGGTCAGAAGGTAGCGCATGCCAGGTGAAGTACTTCAACTCTGACAAGCCTTCAATTTCCACAGTTGTTCCTTAGATCCAATTTGCATCCGCACAGCTGCTCCCTTCCTCCTCCAATGGTAGGTAGGTGCTGACACTTGGAATCTTCTCCTTATGCGTTTGGAGCTGCTAGGATGCAGGTGATGTTGCGCCTAACATTAGCCCTGGAGTGGGTTTACTGCAGAGAAGACTCCCGGGATGTTTTTCAGCTGAGGTATACTGGCTCTTCTGCAGACTGACTTTGGCTTCACACACAAATGTCCCTCTCAGCGGGGCTGGCCCAGAGGAAAGCCCAGCAGGAAGGTGCAGGCTGGCACAGGGGGGTCTGTCACTGAAAGAGCTCCAGGTAGTCGGGCAGCGGGCCCTGCTGCCCACACGGGTGCAGGAGAAGCTCCTTCCCCAGGGAAGTTATGGGTTCCACCTGTAATCACAAGGCACAGTGTCAGCGGGGTGGGGTGGGCAGGTAGTTGAAACAGGCCAACTCTCAACAACACGCCCTTCCTCCCTTCTCAGAGAAGGCGACTCCCTGCGGACCCTGGGTCTGCACCCAGTCTTATAAGCAGGGGGATTGAACCAACGTAAAAGAAAATGTTCTCCTTTCCAGATGCCTGTGTACACCGGGGCCCTCCTGGGCTCAAGTTGTAACGGAAAGACTCTGCTTGGCATGTGCCACCAACATTCTTTTGCATCCCCTCTGCCTCATAAGGCCTCCCTCTATCCTGCAAGAGGAACTAGGTTCTAATGGAAAAAGAAATGCAAGAGTTCTATCATGAGCAATGCTCCAAAGCACATCCCACCGGTGCCTGTCCCCATCTTTTTTGATCATCATTGACTTTCATGGTTCAGAGCTACTCTAGGACCGCACTTGGCAAGGCAAATCCATTTTGTCACTCACTCTACCTTGTGGTAGTCCACCAAGTCGGCCAGCGTGGCGTGCTGCAGCTGGTCCACGCCCAGGAAGCTGTACGAGTCCACAGAGGCGTCAATGATGAAGTGCTTACAGCCGTCTTCGGACAGATAGGACAGGACGTAGCCTCTGATCTTTTCACTCACTCGGATCAGGAAACTGCCTGGTATGCCCACACTCAGAAGTTCATTTGCTCTGTTTAGTGTGAGAATGCCTGTGGGAAAGAAGAGCAAGCAAGCATTTCAGCCAAAGGGTTTACAAAATTCTCCTTGGTGGACACAGGTGTGCAAATACAATTTAGCAGGGGGGTAGGCTCATACAGGTGCACGTTAAAAAGCTTCAGAAGGTATGGGAGGACCCCTTAGCAGTCATCTAGGGAGTGCCAGACCTGAAGGGGGTCTTGGTGGTACAGTGAATAGTTACACATTGGGCTATTCACCAAAAGGCTAACTATTTGAAACCATCAGTAGCTTTCGGAGAGCAAGATCAGGCTTTCTAGCTTCAGGAAGATGTACAGCCTCAGAAACCCAGAGGAGCACTTCTACCGTCCTATAGGGCCACTAGGAGACACAACAGACTGGACCGTGGAAAGTGTGTTTCTATTTGAGATCTGGAAGCAGAATAACTGCCCAATCAGGTAAACATGGGCTTCTTTGTGCTTACTAACTAATATAAAGAGAACCGTTTCAAATGGGTTTCACCATGTCGGACATGTGAAACCATGTGGAAACTGTCCACTGGTTTACCAGGCCATGTTTACCTTACTGACTAGACACTTTAGCCCCGTTAGGGAGTATACATGTGAGAAACTTTGATTCTGTAGGAAGGTGCTACGAGTTGGAAGAGAGGCAGGTAACAGCCATCCCTAGAAGCAGAAACTTCAACATGAAAAAATGCGGAATGGCTCACTTCAGATGAACAAGTAAGCAAAGTCAGCCTGTGCTTACAGATCTTCCCTCAGACCAACTTAACTTACTAACGAGGGCCCTACAGTCTGGGGAATGAGCTGGCATGTTCCGGAACAGGGGCTCTCAGCCCGAGCCATGTCTGGGGGCTTCTGGCTGTCAGGATGGGAGAGTGCTGCTGGCATCTAGGGGGCAGAGGCCGGGGACGGTAGTAAGCATCCTGTAGTGCGCAGAACAGCCGCTCCACAGCGGAGGCAGAGCAATCCTGGTCTAGGTGACTCAGCAAGGCAGGTCCCCAGAGTGTCTTCTACCGAAATGTGCCATTGACACTGGAGGTGTGCGCACACGCACACACACAGAGGCATGTGTGAGAGGCTTTTGAAATGTCTGGGAAAACAGAAGGAAAAGATCATGGCATTTTTCCACAAACGTATTGAAGTCAGGTGTGTGTGTGTGTGTGTGTGTGTGTGTGAATTGTCCACGTGATTCCATTCTTTTTTCGTGTACTTTGCAAATGACTCTCAGTAAGAGCGGCTGTCTCTGTAGTTTGCCGAGGAGAAAGGGGAGGAAGAACAGGTCGGCCTACAGAATGGCGGGGTGAGGGTTCCAAGCCTCGGGTCTCCCACTCTTGTGTTTCGTGTGCTTGGATTATCCCCTGGGGCTCATGAAATGGATGGAAAATGAAACAAGAGCATTTGTTTCACAAAGCGGTATTTAATGCTCACTTGGACATGTGATTGTGTGTGTGTGTGTGTGTGTGTTTAACGAAAACGACATGAGCTTTTTACATTTGTTTGTCAATGGCCCCTCTCCCTACAAGGGCAAGGGCAGGGCATGAACACTATGCCCTGTGCAGGCTGCTGTGAAACAGAGTGTGCAAAGCACACTTATGAAATATCTGGGGTGGAGCACGGGGAGGGGGAGTTGGCAAACAAACAAAAGATTCATGTCATTAGTTTAAAAATAAGATATATATGCTTATATGTATTTGCTTACATGTATACACACACTTACATTTATGTGGCTATGTATCTATGAAAGGGCTTTGAAAAGTTTCTAGAAAAATCCCATTATTTTTTCATTCCATTTCCCAACAAAGTTTTTTAAAAACCCCTCAAACATAGGTGTGTGCATTTGTGTGCATATCAGTTCAATGGCTCAGGAATTCAGATCTCAATTCAGGCTAATCTTCTCCCCAATACATCCAAGAGGACGAGGTTTGATTCCTGCCCCTATCATCCCCTTAAGATGGCTCGATGAAGCTGGACAGGGAACAGAGCGTAGACAGACACCTAGGAGCGATGGCAGAGCTGCCTACTTCCTCCGCCAGCTCTGATTAGGGGGACGGATGGGGGTGGGGGGTGTGTTTGCCCCGTGCCCTCTGGCTTCTCCTGCTCCACAGTTAGCTAGCTGCCTGTGAGTACGCAGTCCCATTTGAGTGGAAGAAAAGACCCACTGGACAAAAAGGCATGAGTGCTCCTAGGCCTTCAGTCTCGGTCTTGGTCATCTAGTCCTGGAACAACAGGCACAGCAGCTGCTGGTGCCCTGCCCCTGGACTGGATGCCCATGTCCGCTCCAACAGGCAAGGCCCAGACCTGCTGCATGCGCCTCTCTGGGTCCCTTCCTGAACACACCTGCACCCAGTGATAAAGTACAGATGACGCCTTAACCTGGAGGAAGGCAACGGGCAACCCAGCCGACGCAGGAACCGCAAGTGACAGAAGCCGGAAGACATGACATCATGCTGTCCTCGAACCCAGGAATAGTTTTCACGGGGCTGCAAGGCCCCTTCAGAAGCACGGTGGTGACTGAAGGAGAAAATAAAGCCTTCCTGAAGGAGATTTCTCTCTCTCTCATTCCAGCAGCCCTGACAGCGAGTTCCTGGTTACTTCAACAGATGTTATAAATGAAAACATCTGGATGTTTTCCAGATGGATCTGGATTCTGAAAATGAAGGCTCTTCTGGAAAACTACACCCAAACCCAAGGGAAGGTGAAATTCCTCCCCCCAATCAGGTCATATAATAGCTACAATCGAACTGCTGAGAGCTTCTTAACCTCGGTTATCATGACCCTTAACATACAAACCTTGGCACAATCTCATCTCCTTAGGCTCCGAAGCACAGCACAAAGATTTTGTGTCAAATCACAGGTCACAATGGAGATTCCTTGAGCACAATGATAATGAGGGTAGTTTGGGGAAGTGCATGCTACGTAGGGTTGGCAAGAGGCTGGGTTTTCCTTCTTTCTTCTTTTGGCCTTAGGCGAGGGTTGTTATTCTTTAAGAGCACACTCTATTGGTGCAGTTTGTTGTAAGTCCACCGAGCACAGTGGCTACCTGCAGGGTGGCGTGGCAGTGATCACTAGCAAACAGAGAACTCGGCCTGCTGGGAGAGCATTCTTGAATGCCACAGCAGCTATCAATCACTGCTGGAGTCAGGCGGTGCAATGGTTACACATTGGGCTGTTAACCACCAAGTCAGCAGCTCGAAACCACCAGCTGCTCCTGGGGAGAAAGACGAGGTACTCTACTCCCGTAAAGAGTTACGGTCTCACAAACCCACAGAGGCAGCTCTAGCTAAACCTGTCCTATTGGCAAGATATGACAAAATACCCATTTATAAACTATCAAGGGCTCATGCGGGAGGGGGGAGCGGGGAGGGAGGGGAAAAATGAGGACCTAATGTCGGGGGTTTAAATGGAGAGAAAATGTTTTGAGAAACGATGTACAAATGCGCTTTACACAATTGATGTGTGTATGGATTGGGATAACAGTTGTATGAGCCCCTAATAAAATGTTAAAAAAAACCCTGTCCTATTAGGTCACCAAGAGCCGGAGTCGACTGGATGGCTGATGAGTTTGGTTTTTTGAGTTTTAGAGTCTGCTTAACAATACTACTCCCATCCTCTGATTTGCCACTTGTATACCCCTAAGGATCCTGCCTCCCTCTGGCCAGCTCTCATCACACATTAGTACAAGAACCCAATACATTGGTTAAGGTTCCGTGGCAGTTACATAATCTCCTGTCAACCTGAGCGAAGGGGTGGAGTCTAGCCTGTCAATCAGGTCATAGCCAATGATGCTTCTGTGTGGGTGTGGCCTTCTCCTGAGGATTCTGAGAACTGCTGTCTTCCTCCCTAGAGGTGGGACACACACTCTCTCTGCTTCATATTCCTGTTGCCAAACCACATGGAACTATGCTGATGGTAGCCAAAGCCCTAGAGCTGGAGAAGCCACGTGGAGACCCACGCCAGTGCTGAGATGCTTCCACAGCCACTGGATCCATAAGACTTTCCACCCACCGATCTGTGTTCTTCCTGCATTCAGCATCATTGCATGTATTGTTTGAGTCTGAAGAGGAATTTATAGACTGGTCTCAGACTTATGGCTAATATCAGACTTATAGGCTTGTTCTGGACTGGGCTGGGATATTTTCTTAATAGACAATTACTCTTTGATATAAAGCTCTCTCTCACACACACATTGAGTGTGCCTGGATTTGTTTCTCTAGTCAACCCAGACTAACACAAGGCCCAAGGAGGACTTCTGTGCTAGTGAAAAGGGATGAGTACGACAAGTCAGAAAGTAATGCTACTGGGCTTCCAGTTCGCCCCTGTATGGGTTTATTTCAAACAAAACATGTTTAAGCATGTCTCTGTGACCAGTGGACAGCTGCAGGCATGTCCCCTCTGTAACATACTTGTGGTAGGCTTGATGGAATGCTTTCAAAAGAAAGGATATGAACCACCACAGAGTGTTGCATGAAGATCAGCTAGCTCCAAGAGCTGATCTTTCGGCAGGAGAGAGGCTATGAAAATGATTTTATGGAGGGGAGTATAATGTGGACCGGTCTGGAATTTAGCAATATAGTCCAGAGAACAAGGTCCAATCTAAACAGTGGCTTCCAGGAGGCTTTCCTGGGCCAGTTAAATCCAAGCAGAGAAGTCGGTCCAGAAGGTTATGGGGACTGGTTTGGGGGATTCCGAAAGGGCAGTTTGGGTCGATGTTCTTGAAGGACACAGAATGAACACGGGGGACTATGGCAAGGAACTTGTAAGAAACTGCAAAATGCAGTGGTGAGACAAGGCCAGGAACGCTGTTCGGGGGACTTTTCCCAGCACAGCACGCCTGCTCATTCTTCAAGGGGATCAAGGACCGTCCTATGAGACTGGTCTTGGGAAACCTTACCCCATTTACCCCATACCCCTGATCTTGCCCCTTCCGACTTCATTTTGACCCCCAATCTCAAGGGATATTGAAAAGAAACCCTATTTGAGTCCCCGAACAACGTTAACACTGATCCTTGGAT